AAAGTGTTTTGCCTTCTAGCCCTAGGCTCATGGGCTTGGTCATCTTAAATGCTGGGTTTTCTCAGGATTATAATTGACTTTAAAGATAAAACATTGGTCTTAAAAACCGAAAGGTCCACTGATTAATCTCAGATAAGAAAGTATAATACATACTCCAAGTATTGAAATACACGCCATCGTGTTGGGATTCAATATTTCGACATTAATTATGTCATCATCAGGAATCTCTTAAGATCTGGAAAAAAAAAACCTCAAAATGTAATTAAACCATGGTAAGCTCATTTAAATGGATCAAAAATGTTATTAACTTCAAATAAAACACAGGTCAAACAAATTAGCTTTCACTGACTTGCAGACCTTTTACCGAAATACAAATTCTCAAATTGATTACCAGGCAATTTTATAGTAACAGTTTTGTTTATTATACATCTGTATTTGATGAGAATATCTTTATCATCCATACTTTCAATTGAAAGTTAAAAATTTAGCCTACCTAAAAAAGTAATTCAAATGTTTAATTTAATTTTAATAATTTAGCATAGACAGTACAATTCAATTGTCAGTTATTTGTCCAAAAGGAAATTAAATTAAATATAAAATTACAATAAATAGAAAAAATACATCAATATGAAAATACAGAATTACTAAGTTATTCAATACATACAAGGTCATAATTATAAAAAATAAACAATAAATGGATAAGAACAACGATTTAACCATGAAAAATATAACAATTTTAAGAGATATATCAAGTATAGTATACAGTTTATGTACAGTGGTTACCCAGCAGCAATAAGAAAAAAATAGATGAACAAAGGGCGGATGAACTCCTCAGAGCCACTGGTATCAGTAGTTAAAATTTAAGTTTATGTTTCCAGTATAATGTTATAGTATGTTTATTCCTATTTACAAGTTACAAATATCTGGAGTTGGTAATGAAGTTTATGCAATTTTACTAATCTGTATTATTTTTTTATTTATTATTTCTGAATACTTATGGATGTATGCAGAGGGGATATTAAATTATGGAATTTTATCCCACGTCTTTATTTTATTTTAGAAACTTCACTTAGTGGTGAAGCTAGTAGAAACAATTGTGTAGAGACTGTCTCTTATACACATCTAGATGTGTATAAGAGACAGTAGCATTCAGATTCTATTTAAGATGAGATTAGAGGGAGCTTTCACGAGATTATCGTGCAATTGGAAAGTGATCGTTCAAAGTCCCAAATCACCCACTTGTATTTTTGTTTCTCGCGGAACTCAGCCAGTAGAGGATGAAGCATTCCAATAAACGGAGGTAATCAAATTATTTCTTTGCCTGAGAGGCTAGATAAGATCTGAAAAATTCTGTTTTTCAGAGAAGTTCTTTTTTTCTTTTTCAAAACAACCTTTTATTTAAAGTAACAATTTAAAGTGGCTTAAGCTTCGTTAAAATTTGAATAGACTTAGTTCCCAAGAAGGCTGGGAATAGGGTTTCAACATAACGACGCTGTTTACGAGGACAATAGGAAGTAAATAACTTGAACAACGTCTCTTTAAATTAAATTGTTTGGAGGTAATCTTATTTTCCTGTATGTATTGCCCTCTACTTGATCAGTTTTGTCATGCTAAAAGGTTGTTGACATTTCCTTCTCAATTTGATAAATCCCTTTTTATTAATCGTAATTTGCTATACACCTATTAATTAACTAAGTAAATATTTTATCCAGGGAAACTGGGAAATGTAAACTGTACTTTGTCCTAAACATGTTATTTGTTAATTCAATCAATTGAGATTTCTTTATGAAAATATTTATTTTACTTCGGAGGAAATTTGTAATCTCAGCTCTGAAAGTGTTGTGCCTTCTAGCCCTAGGCTCATGAGCTTGGTCATCTTAAATGCTGGGTTTTCTCAGGATTATAATCGACTTTAAAGATAAAATATTGGTCTTAAGATCTGGAAAAAAAAAACCTCAAAATGTAATTAAACCATGGTACGCTCATTTAAAAGGATCAAAAATGTTATTAACTTCAAATAAAACACAGGTCAAACAAATTAGCTTTCACTGACTTGCAGACCTTTTACCGAAATACAAATTCTCAAATTGATTACCAGGCAATTTTATAGTAACAGATTTGTTTATTATACATCTGTATTTGATGAGAATATTTTTATCATCCATACTTTCAATTGAAAGTTAAAAAATTTAGCCTACCTAAAAAAGTAATTCAAATGTTTAATTTAATTTTAATAATTTAGCATAGACAACACAATTCAATTGTCAGTTATTTGTCCAAAAGGAAATTAAATTAAATATAAAATTACAATAAATAGAAGAAATACATCAATATGAAAATACAGAATTACTAAGTTATTCAATACATACAAGGTCATAATTATAAAAAATTAACAATAAATGGATAAGAACAACGATTTAACCATGAAAAATATAAAAATTTTAAGAGATATATCAAGTATAGTATACAGTTTATGTACAGTGGTTACCCAGCAGCAATAAGAAAAAAATAGATGAACAAAGGGCGGATGAACTCCTCAGAGCCACTGGTATCAGTAGTTAAAATTTAAGTTTATGTTTCCAGTATAATGTTATAGTATGTTTATTCCTATTTACAAGTTACAAATATCTGGAGTTGGTAATGAAGTTTATGCAATTTTACTAATCTGTATTATTTTTTTATTTATTATTTCTGAATACTTATGGATGTATGCAGAGGGGATATTAAATTATGGAATTTTATCCCACGTCTTCATTTTATTTTAGAAACTTCACTTAGTGGTGAAGCTAGTAGAAACAATTGTGTAGAGATGGACGTAAACTGATTTTGAATAAAAGTGTCAAGATTGTATTTAAGTCAGGGCACAGAAGCTTCAAAGATAGAACAGATGTAGATTTATTTGGCGTCAAAATGGAGAGGGCACTCTTAAAAGTGCAAGTAATTTCACAGATTAATTCAATTTTGGGAACAGAGATATTTATGTAGACGGACTGTACAGTGTTGATTTGTATAACAGTGAGTTCTTCTTAGCTGATATATGAACTTTAATTTATACAGGCTGTCTATGTTTTCTCATTTAACAGTGCATTAATAAATATTATCACACAAATTTTCATCAATATCTTTCTTTTTTAAACCCATTACTGTCTTGTTTCTATTTTATTTTTTACTTTATTTGCTGTATGTCTATATAGCTACAATTTTCATAAAATAAAAAAAAAGTTCAATAGTTTTAGTTTAGTTAGAATTAAGTTTTTATGAGAGTTCGATATTCATTTAGTACAGAGACAGATTGCCAATTTTTGATGAATTTTTCAGGGTAAATGTAAAATTAAATGTCTGCCAAAGAATTTATTCAGAACTTTATTTGCTGTATGTCCATACAGCTACAATTGTCATAAAATAAAATAAAAAGTTTAATAGCTTTAGTTTAGTTAGAATTAAGTTTTTATGAGCATTTGATATTCATTTAGTATAGAGACAGATTGCCAATTTTTGATGAATTTTTCAGGGTAAATGTAAAATTAAATGTCTGTCAAAGAATTTATTCAGAGCATTTTAACTTGACAATGAGTCATATACCATTTTCCATCTCAATTTTTTACCTCAAAACCAAAAACTCCTACAACTACAGTAAAGTCCTGGTGACTTTCTTTGTGTTGCCGTGGTGATTAAACACTCAGGGGTCTTTAATTACCAACATGTGGTGTAATGTTGTTTAAATTAAGACTCCGTTCACCTCTGAACTTTGACTCTAGGTGGGAGTTAGGTCACTTTAATTGCTGAATGTTTGTGTTTCATATTTCCACAACAATTTGTTGTAATACTATGTGCGGGTTTTGCATTCTGCTTATTTGAAAAGTTTATATACTTTATAATAATTACTGTACTATCATTAAGATGCATGTTTTTATCACACCATTTAAAGGCCAAATTAAAAAAGAGAATGGTCTTTTACTTCATGTTGTCCTTCCTTGGATTTAAAATCTTAGGATCTAGCTGCTATTTTGTCATTGAATACAAGTTGGATTTATTATTAGAAGCTGTTCTACATAGTTTAATCTCATCTTCTTTTATCCACTTTCACAAAAAAACAAAAAGCCCTAAAAATCCATATAGCCTCATGCTATAAAAGCATGAATGGCCTGTATTTCTAGACCATGGATAGTTGTGCTACAATTGTATTTTTATCTCCTTCTCCAGTCTTTTGAACAAAGGGATAGATTAGAGAGAGGACTTGGTCCTTTGCTTTAAAATTAACCTACACGAACAGTTTTGTACAAAACTATATGGCAGAATAAAAATATAACAGATTTCAATAATGGTATTATTTTCTGTATTCATAAGGTGATTCTGTTCTATTCCTGAATGATATTTTCTGAATTAAACAAAATTCAAACTTTATAGCTCGGAGGTACACAGCTGATTCTGGTCTAGTATTGGTATTTTCACCCCCTTAAGGGTGTATTATGACTCCTATTCACCATGAACCTGTTGAGAACACTTAACTTTGGCAATACCAGTGATAGAATTATGTCCGGTAGTTTAAGAGGAGCAGCTTGCCTTCCTTATCAAATATGTTTTCCCCACCACCTCAGGCGATTAGCCTCTTCCATGTCCAGCACAGCTAGTCAAAGATACTTTGTATAAAATGTATTACCTCAAAAATTCCAAGGATTCAAGGGTCAAAAATGTTTTGTTATTTATTTTTTAATCTTCGAGAAGCTTACAACTTAAGATAGAATTAGACATTTATTCACAAACAATTATGAACATGTTTTCTTTTTGTAAAAAAAAAATTGAGGTATTTAAAATAACATGTTCAAGTTGCTTACAAATTACTTTACAGTGCAAAATTATACATTTATTGAGGAATAATTGTCAACATGCAATCCTTTCATATATTATAACATATTTTTAAAAGTGATGTTTAGGTATTAACAGAGAATACTTTTATATTTATGATTATTATATAATACAAACAATTTTTTTTTTTTCAGGGCCAGTTTTCCAAATTGTGAATGGATTTTAGATTTTTGAAGAAGTCAGTATGGTAGCCAGAACAGTTGTGTTATCGTATTTTACAATTGCAACGATTTTAGCCAGCTCTCAACATGGCTGGGCTGCAGGTAATCCATTATTGTCAGTGGTGTATGTTATCCTAACCAACCTCCATATCTTGTTTAGGTTGTTCCTCATACTTTGAAAGTCTTTGTCTTTGTATCCCTAAACAAAATGTCATTTAGTTCATCAGTTACCAAACCACAAGAACATTATGGTCAAAATACCTTCACATTTACTCCTGTTTTGCCGACATGAACTACTGGTATCACTATAACTTTATACAATACTCTAATTCTATTGCAGGAATAGGATACGATAGACTACAGTAAATTAAAATAAACTTTAAATCCATGACAGTTTCAAAATTTAAAAATTCTATATCAGGTCTATGAATCTTAAACAAATATTTTCTTTACCATGCATTTGCATTTTTGTTTCATTTATTTATTTTTTTTACTTTGTATATACTTTGTAAAGTTCATTGTTTAATTTTTCTTATTTGTTAATACAGAACCACTTTGGAAATCAATGCATTGCAAATATTTTTGGTGAACTTTTGTCTTTGTTTTCTTTGTGCTTTTATGTGGCCCTTAGCACAGGATTCCTTTTGTTATTTTTTTCCGCTTTTGAAAATAAAAAGAAAAAATTGGAAATACAAAAAAAAAGTTTTTTTGATTTAAAAGGAATCTGGCAATGCTCTTTTTTGGACATAAACACACCATCCATGCAGCTGTGTTAAGTTAACAGAAAAATCTGCCACTTCACATTACATAAATAATTCTAGTTAAGTATTAATTTTTATAAAAGGTTACGATTTGTATTTTGGAGTTAATTTATTCTAGTATTGTCCATGAAGAAGTGGTGACCTTGGTTGATTGGAAAAACTCAGCCACTGCCAACAGCAATCAGAAAAAACTGGGTGACATCATTACCATCAACCAATCGGAATCCACCATTTCTTATTTGTCTAAATCCACTGTAGCACTTTGCCAGTCCCCTGTTGGTGTACCGTTTTATTTTCTCCTCGGCCTCCTGAAGACTATTTGGAGTCGCTGCAGGCGGGCTAGTTATTCGACGTGAGTTGGAGTAGATAGCGTGCCGAAGCAACTCATGTAATTTTAACCTGACTTATACGAAAGACGATGGAAAGTGAAAGGCAGGCACGTAATGTCCGAAATAGTTACTGTATCATCCGTAGGATGTGTGGAAAAGCTACAATTATGAAATATAAACTGACACATTATTGGCCATGTTTGATGTATAATGAAGCGGTTTGAAATACTTCTTAACGCGGGGTTAATTTCACAAATTTAATGAAGGAAAGAGATTGTCAATGCTACTTCAAATCAATTCGAAAAGAATTTCAGTTAAATATAATCTAATTTTATAATTTATGAATATTCAATCACATTTATATTGTAATTTCTGACTTTTTAAAAAGTAGTAACCAACTTTGAATCACTATAATGAAGATACATGCATTAGTTCTTTGATATTAGGCTCACTGTATATATTTTTTTTTAAATCCATCCTTAATATAGTCGTCTTTTTTCAATCATTTTTAAATATGATTGATATAACACTTTATATATTTTTAAGCTTCCTAACTTCTCTGTTTCCTTTGGCCTTTCATACCATACTTTTTTTCATTACATCAAAAGTAGTAACCAACTTTGAATCACTATAATGAAGATACATGCATTAGTTCTTTGATATTAGGCTCACTGTATATTTTTTTTTTAAATCCATCCTTAATATAGTCGTCTTTTTTCAATCATTTTTAAATATGATTGATATAACACTTTATATATTTTTAAGCTTCCTAACTTCTCTGTTTCCTTTGGCCTTTCATACCATACTTTTTTTCATTACTATTCTTTTTCTTATTCCTTTTAATGTTTTATTTCTTTCTTGAATTTATATTCCCGATATATTGTTTATTTTATTTATTTATTTTATTCAAATTCAGCTCACAACAAAGAATAAATAATAGAACTAAGGTGGAGGTAATCTAGTTCATCTACTTGAATATAAAAGACAAAACATAATATCATAAACATTGAAATAAAAGTAAATGAAAAATATATAAATTATACACATTAAAAATTGTAAAACAAGTTACAAAGCAAATAATAAAAATAAACATGTTTTTACTAATTTTGTATATTGTTAAACATGTTTTTACTAATTTTATATAATGTTAAATATCTGTTTACTTTAAATATTAAACATCTTTTTACTAATTTTATATTGTTAAACATCTTTTACTAATTTTATATATTGTTAAATATCTTTTTACTAATTTTATATATTATTAAACATCTTTTTACTAATTGTATATATTGTTAAACATCTTTTAGTAATTATATATATATATATTGTTAAACATCTTTTTACTAATTTTTTATTATGATTTATTATAAGATAATTATATCACCACAATTCATTGTTTAATCTGCCTTCTATAGTTTTATGACTGTTTACCTACTTTGATCTTCCTTTTTATCTTCATTAATTTTATATTACTATCTTTTATTATTTTCCTACATTTTATTTCCATTTAAATTTTTGCATTAATTATTTTATTGTTCAAGAAGTTACTAAAAAGTATTCATATGTCTTTTGTTCTCCTTGATACAGACGAAGCACCCTCATTCATAAAGGAACCAAGTTCCCAAATTGTAAAACGAAATAGCCGTGTACGATTAAAATGCGATTTTCGACCAAAAGACGCTAGAGTATATTGGACTTTCAATGGAAAACCATTAGAAAACACCTCAAATGAGGATATAGAATTTCGTCATGGTCACCTGATCATCAATTCGTTCAGGAGCAAAGGGGAGAACACGCATGCCGGAAACTACCGGTGTTTTGTAGAGACGAGTATAGGAAAAATAGTCAGCAGAATTGCGAAGTTACAAGTAGCATGTAAGTACCGGTACAAAATTTACTAAGCTGACTCCTTTTAAATTAAATTTGTTTTTTTATAAAGCTAATCATTTCCTTCCATTTAGGAATGATGACCCATTATGGGGGTCGGCATACCAAAACCAACATCAGCGACCAAACAAGGAAATTGACTTTTTAACATATTCATATTTTTCACATTATAGGCTTTAAAAATGATAGTTCATTTACTGGAATTGACTTATTATTGCAGAAGTTATGAGTAAAAAGTAGTATTATGGCTTCTCTGAAATAAAGTATACAAAATACAATACTTGCACATTCTTATGCTAATTACTCAGATTAGCATTTAGCGATAGTACGCTGGTTTTGGCATGGCAATTCTCATATATGATTGATTAAGTGATTGAATAATTCAGCTTTTGGGGATGATTGATCTAGCCTGCAGGATGAATGTTATAGCCTATGACATAAAGGTACATGGGGTGGGATGAGCTTCACTGTCTCTAGAAATTTTAGCGCCAAGCCTGTACTACTTAAACATTTAAACTCTACTTTATTGAAATACAAAATCATAAGCAGGAATGTATGTATGTATAGTCCCGCTTTGTGTGGGTGTATTTTATATGTTGAAGTGTATCTACTGTAGCTTTTATAGAATCTGTGGCAATAGAAATTGTCTTTGTGGTCTAGCGATATGGCACACGCCTTGACAGCGAAGGGTTGCAGGTTCGAATATCAATGGAGACAATTACAGAATCGTTGCCTAATACTTTTAGAACAGCATTTTTGCTATATTTATATTATGTTTATTCTGTTTTTATATAGTATATTATGTTGTCAGTCTTGGAAAGAAATGAGTTATTGCATGCCATAAAAACCAGATAAATCTTAACGAGGGAAAAAATATATTTCGTTTGTGTTTGCAGATATGAAGAAAATGAAATTTAAACCAGAAGCACAGACCTCTATGTACCTAGGAGGAACAGCTTTGATTAAATGCACCCCACCAGATAGTATGCCAAAAGCTATTATAGAATTTCATTATAATGGACAAACACTTCCAAAATCTTCAGGTAAGTACATTTTTTTAAAGAAATTAAAATAAAATAATAGTAAAGTACTTATAAAGACCTGTCCAGACTATAAATGTTATTTGACAAAAATGTGACATGGCTAAATATGATCATGATGACTTCACATCATGACCATATATTGACATAACAGGACTGTTTTTTGTGATAGTGTGGACAAACCATTAAACTAGACTATGAGACAAAACGGGACAACTACGGACAAATTATCTAATAGGAATTGTCCAACCCATGGGACAAATTTAAGTTTATGGTATAAATAGTTCAACCACTTTACAATATAGACCTGTTATCTTATGCTGTACACACCATACAGTATTCAATTAATTCTTATAGAGTCAGGGGAAGTGGTCAGTAAGGGTTACTAAAAGACTATTAGTGTATAACTAATTACTGCCTATGGCTACAATATTTTTTGACACTTTGACTTGTGTATTATAGAGGCAATTTTTTATTAATATTTTTTATTATGTGATGACTAAAATTCTTCTTGCAAAACTGCAGTATCCACATATAACCTAGACCTCCATTGTTTTTTTGTTTTTTTTTAATGTTATCACTCTTTTATATATTATTTGACAAATATTTAATCGTAGTTTAAGTAGTACAGTGTGTTGTCCCCTGTCTCTTATACACATCTTATAATTAAATATATATATTATATAGGCCTATTGTCGGTTGAATGACCCAACTGAGAAAGTTATTCAAAACAGATGCATTATTTTTCACCCCAAGGAGTAAAAGTTAAAAATTCAATTCATCATTTTGGTATAGCGAGTGGATAAGGCTGGACGAGATGGTTATTTAAAGAGGTTAAAACTTCAGGCTGAGCATTCCAATTGAACACTCCTGTTTCTAATGATTGTGTTTATCTTATCAATTTCTCTCTCAGGGAATTTTTCTTCAATTATTAATGAGATTTTTCCACAAAAAAAAATTGTCTTGAAATCTGTTGGTAAAGAGTCTTGTCTGGTAGATATTACACTGATTGAGAATGAATGCGCCGAAGTCCCTTATCTACTTTAGATAGCAGTTTCAACTTGGAAAAAAAAAGTTTTGAAGAACCTTCTTAGATTTGGTGTGTAGAGCCGTTTTCAGGCATTTTATTAATTTAGACAGTTTTAATGTACTATTGCTTCTAATGTTGATTATAACAGAAAGGATGAGGATAATTATGATATAGATCATGATAATAAAGATTTTATGTTGCCCATGCCTAAAGTTAAAGATAGAATACACATAACTTGCAGCCTATAGGGCGTGGTCCGTGACTACCCAGCCGCCATAAATAGGCACTTATAGTAGCTACGTGTTTACATCATTCCACGACGACAGGGGCTGAAATGAACCATAGCATCTGGGTAGCTACGTACTCTTCCAAAAGATGCAATGGGTTGTTAATAGCACATGTGCCAGATGTTTACACTGGACCTGCATTTCAAGTCCTTATCTGAGAAGACCAACCAAACCCTGGACGAGGAGCGCCTCAAACCAGCACCGCTGTTAAGGCTGCACACCGGCCTTACTGCTCAGCCAATCGACTCACCATATGTGGCAAAGACAAGCCAAACCAGTCACTCGTCGCAAAAATCGATTTTGAGTTATTAATACAGTGTTAGAGAGTAAAATAATAGCTATAAAATGGTAAAAAATCATTCAAATTGGACATTTCCTTATGAAGTTACAAGCGTTTAACCACACAGTTGTTTAAAGAACAATATATAAGAAATTAACCGTCAAAGTTATGATTTCAGGCATTTCTCATGCAGAAACTATCTTTAAATCCTTAAAAATTATTGTTTTAACATTGAAAATGGGGAAAATAACAGCATAGAATGATGTGTAGATATATAAAGGGTAGTTTAGTGCAATAAATCGATTTTTAAAAATTTGACATTCCAACATTTTGGCCATTTTCTCTGAAACACGATTTGCGACGAGTGACTGGTTTGACTTGTCTTTGCCACATACATGCCTAACTGACCAAAATTCATTAAAAAATTTTCTACTGTTATTGATCTTTGTCATTGTTTTTTCCATAGATCATTATAGGGTCCTTCCCTCAGGTAATCTTCAAATTCACAACATAACAGAAGAGGATGTTGGTGTATATACATGTTCAGCATTCAACCCTGTCTCGGAAAAACGTCAAAATGCAACCTCTGGGACGATGCTTACAATCAAAACAGGTAAAATCCTCCCTGCTAGTTTATCATGTCTTACATCATAGGCAGTCATAAGATAAAGAGGTGAGAATATTTTTTACAATAGGCTTACAATGTATTGATATTAACATTTGTCCAATTTATTGTTGACTGATTTTGTATGAGTGAATATTGCTTTCCTGACCGTTTTAGTCCTCTACAAGTCAACCACCGTTTCAGCTGCATATTATGCAGTTCCACATTCTTACCATTAAAACTAGCACCAGGAACATCATTTTCAGACAAAATAATAACATGTAAAGACATGGCATTTTTTGTGTTTTTAAAATAGGTGTGAAACAGTATAGGAGTATATTCTTTGCCCTACCATCATCACATTACCGCTAGAGGGCGTAAACATATTTTATCGTGACGTCATCGGTGAGCTGTTTATTATTGACTGATTTTATTTATTAATATAATTTTTCAGATACTGGTGAGCCACGGTCAATTATTTACGCTAGAGGAGCATCAGTGATTATAGGAGAAAACGCCATTTTAGAGTGTGTATCTGAAATGCCGGAAATTCAATGGTATCGTAGAGATAAGGACATGACATATAAGGCCGAACAACTGTGGGGAAATCTCGTCATTGAGAATGTCCGTAAACATGACTTTGGGACGTATACTTGCATGTCATATTCTAATGTCACCACACGTTCGGTCATAGAACAGACGGTCTACCTAGAAGTCAAATGTAAGAATTCACAATATAGATATATATAGATATATCTTTATTCATAAATTTTATTTTAAAACTATTAAATTTTTGACATTTTTTTGTAATAAATTTAATTTTTACTTGTGTCTGCGATGGTCTGAATGCTGGTTTGGCTAGAATTTTTAGTGTCTTTCATAAAATTGTTTTACTCTATGTTAGCACTATATGCAAATGTTTAAGCTAGATTAGTTGTTTTCTGTATTGTTAAAGTATTCTTTTCTCAGTTAATTAATGTCATAATTTTGTCTATCAATTATAACTTTCAGCTATTGTTCACTGTGACCATAGTTATTTTTTGCACAGCAACATACAACCATTAAATTTGTTAAATATTCTAGCCTATGAAACTTACCTGATTGATTTTGTCCTTATTAATTCAATTAAATCATTTGGAGGCAATTATAAACATAACGGTATTATCTTCTCAGTCCGTCCAGCCATCCGAAGCCCACCAAAAGATACGTCTATGGACCCTTTTAAGACCGTCTCTTTAAAATGCAGCGTGGTTGGCGACGAGGATGAGATTAAATGGCTATTTAATACAATTCCCATTGACCCACTAGACACCAACTATATTGCAAATGGTAAGTTATTACAATTCACTTCAAACTAACCTTGTTAGGTCCATTAGGCCTGTCACAAGTTGCTAACCCTCAGTAAAACTTGCCGGGCACACAGCGACATGTCTCTGCTCTGTGTGAGTGCTTGCCTAACGTACCACCAATCCCCTGACTGTCAGTTGGAGATGGAGTTATTTTCTTTTTGACACTGTGTGGAGCTCTGGGCAAATACTATGTGTGCTGATGGTCAGATAGCCATCAACCAACAAATCCATCTTCATTCTCTGTGTGCATGGATGATGCGACAGCTAGACCAAATTTTATCAATGTTATTTTTTTAATAACTTTATAATATTGCTTCAGATTTCATCCACTTATAGTTTTGAGGTATGTGGCTATTAACTATTTATGTGTTATTTTTCCTTAATGCTTAAATCTTCAGGTCGCCAGTTAAAGATACAAGAACTCTCTGTGGAACGTCTAGGAATGTATCAGTGTTACGTTGAGAACGATCTGGGGTCAGCCCAGTCATCTGCAGAGGTCAAGTTTTCACGTAAGCACACTATATTATTGGAATGTTATTAATTATTATTGCCCAGTCAAATTAAAAGCAATATAAATGAAATGAGTTACTAGTATTACATCAGGACTAAGGAATTTTAAGACTTGTGCAAAGCTAGTTTTCCATTGGACTGTAGCATTAGATATTGTTGCAAAATCCTCACAAAACAAGGTAAATAAACATAAACATATGTGTTTGTGGGACAGTGCATGTTTTTGTTGGAGAACACATATTCCTGACCCTACTCTAATAGTTTAGTTGTTTAGTGTATTTGACACATTCATTATAGCTTGGTTTATGAGGGAGTAACCTAGTACCACTGGTATGTACTCTCTGCCATCCCTGATATATGGATATATATTTCCATGCTTTTCAGGTGGCTTTGAATTGCCGTCCATCATAGAAAAACCCATCAACATGACTGCTATCGAGGGGGAACAGATCTTCTTTGTATGCAGTATAACTGGTCAACCATTACCATTTATGAAGTGGTTGAATCCGCACGAGGAGACTGTGAGGGGAGACTCGCGGTTCTATATTGACGGAGTACCCGAGACAGGTAAATAAAAAGTTTTAACAAAGTGATATAAAAACTTTTATAACTTAACAAGAGTACAGTTATGGCAGTAACAAATGGTGTAGCATTAGTATTCTTGACTAATATTTGCTCCATACTATTAAAATCCTGATTTTTTAATATTTTTTTTTGTTTTGTTTAAGGTGGACTTTCCATAATAGACGTTCGACCTGAAGATGCGGGCTGGTACACTTGTATTGTGCAAAATATTGTTGGGAAGGTCTCAGCCAAGGCCTACCTGAAGGTCATAAGTAAGTTTACAATCCAGGTTTTAATTATTCTTTGAAGTGTGACAACAAAGAACAACTTTGACTATATGGTGAACACTGTAAAACCCATTAGGCCCACTGATACATTTTGTGTGGGTCTGGAACTGAGTCAGGGTGGTCTTCCACCCAGGCCAGATCCTAGAGAGCTTTTCCTTAAGCCAGGCACTCGCTGGCCCTGATGATTGTCGGCCGACGCGATTCTAAGGAGAACGCAATACCACGATGCACACGGATCTTTATTAATGACAATCCGTTCAGGCTGCCACCAATAATCAGTAGACTGCGTCGCGTCGTCTGGCGCTCACAGCGACGTTGTAGTTGTTGGACGACGGTCGTACTACTTTCATACAATGCAGTGAGGGAGCGGCTTTGCACCTAATTCCCATGAGATGAGATGCATTACCTTTGTTAACTATCATGTAAACTTCATCAGGTATTTCAACCATGATACCATTATCTTTGCACAAGTGAATTTAATCTATGCTGCACATTAGTAATATTTGTTAATAATATGATGTTGGTAGTATTAGTGCTGTCTTGGATGTGTTAGTATTATGAGGCAAGTCATGGTGAAATGGATAAGTTGACGCACAGGCCAGCATTGAGTAAATGAGCTATAAAATATAGGAGCTCAAAAAATGGCCTAAAATTCTAACATTGTTTTTTTGTTTTTTTTTTTCTCAACAGTTTAATGTCTTATTAATCATGTCCCAAAATATTAGTTCTAGAAGTGGTCAACAAATTGTTTATTTAACATTATTTTGATAGTCAATTCTATTAAACAGTGTATGCACAAATAAGGCAATTACTCATGTTTATCTGGACTCTAAGAGTGCTGTACATACACTTCCAATAACTTAGGCTTGAAATGTCTAATTTCAATGAATGACCCCTCATTTTAAAGATTACATACACAGGTATCTAGAAATACCAATAACTTGAATTTCAATTTTTGTACAACATGCCTCACCTCTGCAAGAAGTATCTTTAGTCACATCAGTTATAACTTTTTTTTTTTCTGAGGATAAAGTGTTAATGGAAAATGTTATTTTGTGACAGAAATGATGGTAGAAACACCGCCCACGCCTCGGACCACCATACCAATCATACCACCGGAGGAAATCCCTGTAAGCGACGACGCAAAGACATCGCCAAAAATCATTGTACCTCACACCATCAAAAATGGTGCAGGTAAGAAAAAAAAAACCTACAGTTCCATACCTCAAGTCACCATGCATTGAACTTGATCTCTGGATTGGCTGCAAGAGGATAACTGGGAGTAGTGAGCTTTCGATTTGAATGACGACATACCTCTAGAACAGATTAACTCATCATTCAGGCCAAATGCATCCTAGAATCTACGTAACAACAAGAACTTGACTTTCTCGAATGCGCTGATGACTGCTTGTGACATCATTATGTTCTAGGTCAGGGGTGGGCATAAAAATCGGTCGGAAGTGAATTTTTGATTTAACACCGAAGGCCACATCCAAGTTTTGATGATTCCTGTGTGCTTCCAAAAACCTTCATGAACTGCTTTCATACCATTTGTTTGTCAGTTTTAATATCACTTTTTATAGATGATCGGTGTCGGACCATAAATAACAAATTGGTTTCTAGCCAAAGATGGTTGGCGGGCCGCACACATAGGGTTTTTAATTTGTTGTCGCGAGCCACATAAAATCACTACCGGGCCACACTTCACCCACCTGTGTTGTAGGTCCTACCGTCATGTAATAATAAGCTTCCTGTTATATAGAAATACTGTACTGTACTTCACTGTAATTCAAGTATGTTTTATATATTATTATAGTTCCAAATGCACCTGGAAAACCAGGCGTGGTTGAAATTACATCATCGTCGGTGGATATTAAGTGGACGTATGAAAATAATCCTGACGCCCCAGTCTCCGAATTCTACATTCAGAAATTGACTGTATTTGAGAATACTGAATGGCAAAACGTGACAGGATCCATCTCGGCTGATAAGCGTATTCATCGAATAGTTGATCTTACACCAGGTAATTCTTTCAAATATTTAGTTGGCCACAAAAAAATCCCCTTTTAGAGAGATGTTTTTTGATTTACTTTTTCTTTACACAAGTATTTGCATGCTTAACCTTTGACACAAGCCTTTAAATTTGCAAGCTTTCCAGCCTGTTTCATTAGTGAAAGTGTGTGCTACCCAAGTGGGTACTTAATCTATATAATTTTACAATGTTTTTGTTTTTTGAGTGTCTCAGTAATCTCATTTCGGAAATTCCCTTACAGGTAGTATATATCGTTTTCGTACGATTGCGACAAATCATTTTGGTTCAAGTCAACCGAGTTTGTCATCGCACAGGTTTAAGCTCGATGGTGGTGTTGATGAAGTACTAGAGCCTGTAATCAAACCGCATATTACACTTTGCAGTCCCGAAAGCACCACGTCCATCATTGTTGAATGGACTGTAAGTTTTTTCTATCTTCCTGTCTATATTTTAACACATTACTATTATCCCCACTTCATCAACAAATAAATATGAAGCATATATCATTTTGATTAGTGAACAGTTTTCGACACAGTATCATTATTTTAACAACACACCATAAGATCTAAAGCAAGGGCCTTAGGGTGTCGCCCTCTATTATTTATTAACCCGCATTTGTTTAATCCATCAATAATTTCTTGACCACCTGCCCACTGGATTAAAGTTTGCCAAACAAGGTATAAAATATACTACAGTACCTTAGCCCAGCAGCCTACTTATCAATATTTGTTTATTTTTGAACAGTACAACATGGAAGAAGAAACACAACCAGTCGAAGGGTTTTATGTCAAGTATCGCGCCGATACTGATGATGAATATGAGACCAAGACCATCTCTGGTACTGACACAAAGCGCTACATCATCAAGAATCTTGATCCCGATATGTTGTACGACATCAAGATACAGAGCTTCAATATTTATGGTAAAGGCGAATTTAGCAATGTAATGTCCGTATCTACAGATGGTAAGTTTATTAATAATATACCGTAGAAACAGAGACATTCATAATTGCACATAAATTTGTCGTTGTGTCAAATTTCTGTACATTTGAATGTACAGTTTGGTAGCAAATACAAAGTTTTCTTCATCATGGTATCATCGGGCCCACATTATTGCCAGATGGTAGTTTTTTTTCTTCCTAGTATTTTTTTTAAAAACCATATTTATAGAGGGTGGCCCTTCGAACATATCCTGGAGAAGTTAGCCTTCTTAAGTAATGATATAATGTGATGCTTTTATCAGCGAAGTCTCTTTATGAGGTTTAGGAGCCGAGTTGCTTTATATCTTAGAAAAAGTCCTGCTGTCAAAGGAATTGATCTCAGGACCCTGTGATTATAAGGCAAGAATTTCAACCACTAAGCTATTCCACTTCACTCCTGTGTTATGACTTTTTTGCAGAGTATAATCTACCATGTATTTTTTACATTGTACACAGGAACCTATTGTCTTTCTTGTAACCACATTTGTTTGTAAAATATGATTATGATCTACCCTAATGCATCTAGTTAGCCATATAACATAACATATGAATGTTATTAACATAAAATGAATATGTGTACTGTATCTTACCAATCATTTTGTTTGTCAATTTGGCAGAGCCTGTGAATTACAATGTGTTGCCCGATTTTGAGAAACCTGTATACAAGCCACCCGTCACGCCCAAGTCGCCAACTGATGTACAGCCCGTTGTTGAAGAGCAGACTAATACAGCTGGTAAAGATAAATGTATTTTTGATATTTTCGACAAGATAAAAGTATTAAATGAGCCTAAAATCATTGTTAATGCTAGTTACGGTCACCAAAATTCTAGAATTCTTTTCCCATCAAAATACAGAAATTTCCATCCAATTCCTCGTCTTTTCTCGCCTATCTAATTGTTTTCTTTTTTTGTGGATGGTTTTTGTTGTCTCTTTTTCATCTTAATTGTTTCTTTTATTCAACCGCTATTAGATATTTGTTGGGAGTGCATAGAGACCTAGTATTGTACACTACACAACTCTTAGACTATATAAATGTTTTCTAATAATTAAAAAATATGGGGTTTTTTATATTAGTTGATGTTTAATTTTAGTACATGTTCTGTTTTTTCACAGATAAAGAAGAAATCTTGTATATATGTATTGGTGTTATTCTTGGTGCCATGGTGATTATCTTTATTATGTTTGCTGGCATGTGTATTTGGCGGTCACGACAACCAAATGGAAATGGGTTTGGTGGTTAGTCTCTTGTTTTTTGCTTACAGTTTCAGAAAAACATTATGCACATACACTGGGCTGCAATAATATGCAGTTTATCTTAATATGAATTAAATTAAGAGATCAATTGTGGCCAAGTATAGGATGAGAGTACAGGATGTTTTTGTTCATAAGGCAAAGATAGATTAATTCAAGTTTGAATTTGCATCTCAAGCGCTCTTCTGATGTCTAATTGTATGTTTAGACCACATTGGAAATGATCCAGCCAAGTTCTGGCTAATGAACTCAAAATAATCAGTGTGCCAATTAATTTAATTAAGAATAATTATAAAGTCATTTTTTAGTAGAGTAATGTGAATTATATTTTGATTTGTTATGGTAATTGTTTATAGGCAAGTATTTTAAAAAAGGTCTTACTTAACTTCTCTTTTTGATATACAGCTATGAATTGGTCGAATGGTTATTATGGAACGTCGCAATACACGAAAGGTTCACAAGATTTCAATAACCGAGAAATAAATACGTGTCCTGCATATAAACAACACCCTAGATATGATAGTGGGCAGTATGGCACTCACAATGGTCACATAGAACCAAGGCCCCTGTACATGATGCCACAAGATGCCGAAATCCCAATTGATGTATCTCAGTATTTATCTGCACAACCAAACGGAATTTGTGGTGCAACAACGTTAGAGTTGAACAGTCAGCAAGGGATGCTGGAACATCGACATCCGTCCTACGTCCGTCCAGTTAAACGTGAAGACCTTCGATTTACTCCGAATGGAATTGTTTGTAGATCTACGCATCCGTACACCAGCAACGGCAACGTTCATCATCAAAGCAACGGTGATGTGCGTAGTAACAGAGATATGCGATTTCATAGCAATGGTGATATCCATTGTCGACCTAGCAATGATGAGGGCAGCAAACATATGGCCCAAAAGACTTCCCATAATTCATTGGCACATGGCAGTATAGCAGAAGGTGGGTAATAGGTGTCAATTATTTTTTCATTATTTAAGTAAAGCTGTAGTTTGTACTCCTAAAAATATTTTTTTCAATTTTTGTTTTTATTGTCTTGTGTAGATATTTTATCTAATGGAAAATTATTTATTAACATATAATTTTATATATTTATTCTAATCTTCATAACTCTTCTATTTATATTTTACATGTTTGATATGTGATTTTGGATTGGGACAATAAAATCTCCTTTTCTTTTTCTGGCAAAAATAGATGGCCAACCTGAAACAACGCCAAGAATTGCGCAACAGCGACCGATGAGAAACAGCATTGGCGAAACATCCAATGAGGACACTGGCATGTCCAGGTCTCGTTCATCATCTGCCAGTTCTAGCCATTCAACACACAGTGTCGTTGAGTCGGATGTATAGCTGGAATGAGGTAGAGGCAGCAAATAGCAGTCTGCTGCCCTCTATTCCATGTATGTATTGCAAATTTCACTGAAGTATTATTGTATATGTATATAAAATAACCATTTGATATCTATTTATGAATGGTGGTGGGGAAGATGATGTTGATGAATGATGGCGGTGATGATGTTGATGATGATGCAAATTTAATTTCTGCTAATATCCATTATAAATACTTGTAATTTACATATTCCCAAATACCTAGTATTTAAGTAAATTAGGATTTACTCATGTCCAGGTTTAAGTTTGAAAATATTTTCTTTAAAAAAAAATCTGTAATAGTTGGAAACTTTTAACTTAATGTTTCTAATGTGAACATCTTTATTGTCTATTTTTTAATCTGAAATGATATAATTTACTCTACTTTTTAAGCACAAAATTGTCAAGAAAGATGGAATTCTTTTTTTATCAGTGATCGCCTATAGGCTTGGAAAGAGTATAATGATAGAAATATAGGAGTCAGGTTTTGTGAAATATATAGATAGGGGTAATAGTGTGAAGTACGCAGATCAGGGGCGGATCCAATAGGGGGCATGTGCCCTTCCCCGGTTTTTTGCCACAAAATTATAAAATTTCAAGGCATATATTGAAATTAGCACTCTCACTTACCTATTCTGAATATGTTGTGCCCCCTCCCCCTGTTTGAAGAATTCTGGATCCACCCCTGCTAATCGGACTAGGACTTTCCCATTAGGACACATCTGTACCCGCCCCTGCAGATGCTTTGTTGGCCTGGTTTGTTCAGTATATTATATAGGGAGAATTGAATTCTATAAATGAATTACCTTCTTTGGATAGGAAGTTTAAAAATCATGTTATAAAATATATCATCTAATGGTGAATGCATAAAACAGTTTTTAATTTTTTATTTCTATTATTGAATGTTGCCTGTGATGAATGGCAATTGCTTGTAAATTTTAAACTGTACATTTTCAAAGAAATTACCTTGAAAAATAAACGTTGGATGAACTAATATCCAGAACACAATATATGGTAAATTCCTAAATAGAGTTAGACAAGCAGAGTAAATGATAAACAGTACTTTTATGATCCTCCCTTATTAATACATTAGCCCCATTGATCTGGGTATATTCAAAATAGTCCATTTTATTTCATTAAGAATTAACTGTATTATAAAGTTTTTATCAGTATCTGGAAAAGGTCTACAATCATGATATATTTTATAACCAATCACTGAATAAAAATTCATTTTTAAATGCCATTTTTTGAATAGCAAATTACCTTCATATAATAAAGATTTTGCTTTGTGGAAGTTTTGTATAAAACATTAGGTACTTGATATATAAATCTAGGTATGACAATGTATCGTTTGTGTCTGTATTGCATAAAATAGTGGATACTAAAACAAGATTAGAATTGTATATTTCCACATTGATGCAAGAAAAATTGCAACCTAAAAATTGTATTTATGTCGCAAATTAGTTTTGGATTTGATCCATAATGCATGATCCATGATGAAATGTAACCTGGTGTCTGTTTAGACAACATGAGTTTAAATTTACTGCCATTAATCTTGTTTTTAATTTCTAAGTTAAACAAGATATATTTATTAAGATTGAACGTAAGGGTATATTGTATGTAGTTTTCATCAAGACTTTTTCATGGTTTTTGAGTGATTTTTTTACATCCTCTTGAGTTGAGTATATCGTTTATTATTTATTTATTGACATGTCAAGGTTTTTTACGTCAATGTTATGCAAGACATTCAATCTATAATCGATACGAATTCACTGGTTGTGAATGGATACAATTGTGAATAATTATTGGGTTCATCTTCCCCCATGTCGATTGGTATTGCTCTAACCTCTACATTGATGGTTGTTGTGTCTGTTAGTGAATGGTCATTATTGCAGGTGTCCATCCTTAAATGGTCATTCTGTTTTCTGTCCTTGAATGGTTGTTACAGCTTTCTATAGATGATAGTATTTTGTCCATCCACAGATGACCATTCATAAATAGTGTCCATTTTGGGGTGGTCATTCATTATGGCCATCTACAGTATGACCTAAACATTGTCTTGGAATGGTCATTTACTATGATCATCCAGGCCTGGATGGTCAATGTTAAATGGATGACCATTAATGATACAGTGCTGTAAATTTTTGTGTTACACCACTTAGATATCTACATGGTGTAGGAAAAACATTTATTTATTTGTTACTTCTATCATACAAACCTTAAACAACATGGATGGACGTTTAATTTAATTAACTTTTTTGCTTAATTAATTGTGTATACCTAATGTCAAAAAGATATATTTCTGTTTTATTTTAATGGTCCTTCCAAAACAAAAGCCTACTACATATCACCTACTTAAGATAGCTGCTACTACTACAGTATTAAACATTTTAAACCTATTTTGTAAACTTGTATATACAAAAACATCACTAACACTTTCAAAACCTTGCCTACTAATTTAATGCACCGGGGATCTTCTTTGAATTTCTTTTATCATTTTAAGCTCAGCTTATTTTTATATACAGTAGAAGGATTTATAAATATTATATAAATTGTTGAAAGGAGTAATTTTAACTTGTTGATACTATAGCAGTATTTCGGAATCTCCATTTTCTTGTGCAAAGTACTGACCGTGTGAGGGCAGTTTCGGGTATCAAATTTCACCTTTCAATGTGACCTTTAACAGATTTGTTGAATAAACATGTGCAAACCGGATGTGATGCTGTCTTAACCCTTGTATTTTTATTCGTTTTTGCCCTTGGGGGCAGAAGACACTTAGCTATCGTCTCACTTGTAAGTTGTGAGAGTAAATCCGGTTGGATGATGATGGATGGGTCATTAAACTTGAATAGGCCTAAGGCTATGTTCACACACACACACACACACACACACACAGCGTAAGGCTGGCGTAGTGTACGCCCTTGTGTGTGAACTAGGCAGTGGCGTTACTTACGCCACTCACAGCGCCACCTCCGTGGCATTATTAACGCTACCTGCAGACCCCAGATTAGGTAATGCCACTGAGCTAACGCCAGTGATGCTTGAATGATTTGACTTCATTTCAAGAGATTGACCAATCACGATTGCAATAGATTAGTTTCTTTGATCTCTTTCCTGTGCTCTCTATAAATGAAATGTTAAAGGGGTTCTTTTTCTATTGCATTTTACTTAGTTATAATGTATAATGATTTGTTGATTGTGTTTTGTAAGATATTTTAACTTATTTAGAATATCTATTAAAACCTGCAACACCAACAACTGTTGCACAATGCTAGCTGAAAAATCAGAAGTAAAATTGTTCATTTATAATACAATAATGCAGCGATTTGTGAATAAATTAAAATCTTAAAGAAAAAGTAAAAGCCACGGATGATACATTTTAATGCGTCTCTACGGCTGCTGCAGTATACGAAATCCAGCACTTTCATAAAGCAAGTTATGGGTTATTCACCTACCTTTACCTTTACATCGCAATGTTCATATAAGTTTGTTTATACTTTATACATCGTTTATAAGGCCTTTTCGGAAAATTGCGAGAGATTTCCTGAACTGGTTCAAGTTAGTTGGCGTTCATGAATAATGCGAGTTGACCTATTAGAAAGTTAGAAAGTGCATTGCTACTCAGAACTTTGGACTAGTTAATTACATGTCGGCGTCCGTTGGTCAGAACTGGTCCTTTTTGCACGTTATAATGAAACAACACTTGCATTAATTTATGCATAAAGACTTCTGGTAAAATTTGACACTGAAGAAATTGTATACAAGCGTTCCAGCGAAATGAATAATGAGCGTAACAGCTACTTGCAAATTTATCGCTTTGGTGAATTGTGTTTGCGCGCCTAGTGGCCTATATTTTATTCATTTATATTCTGGTTGTGTGAATGGATTTGATTAGAACATCCAATCAAAATGCAAGTTTGGTTTCAGACTGGCGTATAACATTAGCCACTGTCTTTTTAAAAAAATTTATTACAGAACATGCATTGTACATTAACATTAAACAATACCACAGACAAATATCTTCTGGGCAACAGCATCTGTAGGCGTAAATCATAACGCCTTGTGTTCCAAAACCTATTTGAAGGAATTGCATGAACGGGGAAGTGTAGGCATAATCAATACTGTACATAGATGTTCGCGGTACACATGTGTGGATATGACACATATACATTTGTTGAGGTACAGAAGAGTCCGGCCTATGAAATCGAACCTTTTCAGAACGAACATCGGCGGTGTAACATCTCACCACATGGTGTGTACGGCAAATATGTATATTGATTTGTCGGCTCATGTTAAATTTGGTTTTATAGTTAAAGAAATATGTTTAATATAAATAATTGGACCAAAACATTATCTGACTGATTCAAAGATACAGTGTAAACTTAGTCCTAACTGGAATACCAACTAATGGTGGTTACTTGCAACAGAAGTACATTAGACCTAATTATCGATATAACCTTTGACTGTAATACTTTATGTACGGTATATATATATTATATATAAGCCTATATATATATAATAAATATATTATATATAAGCCTATATATATATATATATAATAAATAATATGAAATAACCAAGTTTTTCCTTCGTTTGTTTTGTATTTAGCTCTACCCCGGTATCGAGCACTCTACTGCCGACGATATTGAACCTTTTTCCTAAAATATATATATATATATATATATATATATATATATA